GCGCTGGTGGCGCCTCCTCTTCTCTTGTACAATTATATAGTAAATTAAGTATTATCACTACGTTTTTCTTTTTAATTTAAATCCGACATTTCTCCAATTAACAGGCAATAAATCATGTTTTATTTTCAACGAAAGGAGGATTTGGAGTCAAATGTTATGGAATAACAAAAGATCCAAATAGCGAAGAATACATTTTAATTTTAGAATATATGAGAGGTGGTGATTTTAACGCTTTATTAAGTAAAGAACAGTATTTTAGTTGGAAAGAAATTTATTTATTACTTCAAAATTTATTTCAAGATCTTAATGATATTCATGTTAGTGATATGATACATCGAGATATCCATCCTGGAAATATTCTATTTGATGGGAAAAAATGGTTTATTAGTGACTTTGGGTTTTGTGGGCCTTCAGATAAAAATCCTGCAGAGCAGGTATATGGAATTATGCCATATATTGCTCCAGAAGTGTTTCACAATAAACATTATACTCCCGCATCTGATATATATAGTATGGGAATAATTATGTGGCAACTAATAACCAGATGTAAACCGTTTGACGGTCGCGATTATGATTTTTACCTTGCTAGAGATATATGTAATGGTTGTCGTCCACAAGAAATTTCAGGGCTACCTCCTGAGTATGAATTTATAATGAAAAAATGTTGGGATGCAGATCCTGTGAAGCGACCGAGCGCGGCGGAACTACTTCATTATTTTGATAATAAACTTGATCAAATAAATCATGAAAATACACTTTTAAATTTTAAATTCAGCACTCCTCTGTTATCCAATAATTGTAAAAGTGTATCTTTTGATCATAAAAATTTACCTGTTCCTAAAAATTTAGGTAAGTTTATTATTGTATATAATTCGAGTTTTATAATATTTGTTGAATATTTTGCGTATCATGGCATAATGGTAATAGTGTATCATGACATAATGGTAACATAGATGATTATATACAATCGGGAAGTGACAGCCTCTTAATATTACGACATATAGAGAGTGGTAATAATAATTTATCAAAAAATAATGAAGGTAATTAATCTTAAATTTATTGACAAAATTATAATAAATTTAATTTATATATATATATGTAATTTTTCCATTTAGTTATTTCAACGAAAGTGAAATCAATAATTCTTCAATTGCTATTGAAAATTTGCAACCCATAAATTATGACTTCCTCAAAAGTGAATTACAATATATAAATCCTAAAAAAGGTCACTTATCAGAATTTATGTTTAATTTCATTGATATCTTTCTTTAACGTTTAATTATATAATAATTTAGAAATCGAATTTCTATATTTCATTCGCGGTTTTACTTATATTAATTTAAAAGAATATAAAGAATCACTTATATATTTAAATAAAGCATTAGAAATTAAGCCAGATAATGCGTTTATATTAGCAAGTCGTGGGGGAACTTAACTAGTATTAGGAAGATATGAAGAAGCACTAATAGATTTAAATAAAGCATTA